CTTTTCGAACGCCTTGTTCCCCAGACAACAGTGCTGGCGAGCATGAATGGCAAAAGGTGCACAAAAAGTGAAAAGAACAGAGTAGACAGAAAATGATTTTATTTCGTGGATGAAAAGTCTTGAGTGTAATGAGACAGCTATCTAGCACCCATTAGCCCACTGACCCTGCTGGCTCATCATCATCGCTGCGGCACGATGCCGAGGGAGATCAGGGCCTTGGCCATGTCGGTGACGGACTTCTCGATGGGCGTGAAGGTGATGCCCAGCTGCTGCTCGGCCTTGCTGCGGCTGTACTTGGGGCGGTGGGTCACGGGCGCGCTCTCGGTGGTGGGCAGACGGTCGCGGAAGGCGGCCAGCTCGGGGTCGGCGCGCAGCATCTCGACCAGCTCCAGGTGCGAGATGCCCGTGGGCGACGACGCGATGAACCTGTGACCACCGGCCTCAGGCTTCTCCATCGCAACCACGTGCGCCAACGCCACATCCCTCACATCCTAATCAACACGACACGACAGGCGACACGACGCACACAGTTAGGGTTAAGGTGGCGGTGAGAGGTTAAGGTGACGTACGACGCAGCCGAAGCAGGAGGGGCGGCAGCCGTCCTTCTTGAAGGTGCCGGAGAGGAAGCCCTTGACGGCGCGCACGCTCTCGCTGTCAGTGCGGGCCGAGAGGGGCGGGCCGAGGACGAACGACGGGTTGATCACGGCCAGGTCGAACTTGCCCTTGCCCTCGCCCTCGTTCACGAACTTCCACGCGGCCCGCTCGGCCAGCGTCTTGCTCAGCCTGTAGGGCGCGTTCTCCAGCGTCGAGTCCTCGTTCCAGTCCTCCTCGGTCCACACCTGTATGTGTGTGTGTTAACCCCAATCCTTGGTTGTGCGTTGTGCGTTGTGCGTTGTGACTAACCTTGTCATCGGGAGGCGTGGCCTGCCAGGCGACGGCAGCGCAGGAGGAGGTAACCACCACGCGCTTGACGGTGCCCGACTTGGCAGCGGCGTGCAGCACGTTGAGCGTGCCCTTGAGAGCCGGGTCGACCAGATCCTTCTGAGGATCGCTCACGGTAATCTGGAAGGGCGACGCCGTGTGCATCACGTAGTCGGCTCCTATGTCACCAACATCCACATTCAGCACACTCAGTAAATCAACAATTGTTGATTTAATTGACGTTGATAATCTTTGTGTAGCGCCAAAAACGTGAAGATGATCGATCCTGAAATTTGGGAGGGGAGGTAACCTTTGCAGGCCTCGTCGAAGCTGCCCTCGGTGAGAAGGTCGGCCTCGAAGAGCTGGAGCGCGGGGAAGAGCTCGCGCAGGTGGCTCACCTTGGTCTCGTCGGCGAGGCTACGCACGGTGCCTCGCACCTTGTAGCCACGCTCGAGGAGCAGCTGGACCACGCTTCCCGCAATGAAGCCCGACGCTCCGGTCACAAGCACCACTCCCTTGTCAGCGGTCGCCATCTTCTAGTTTGTGAGTACCTTCCTGCCCTTTGACTGTTTCTGTTGGGTTTTGGATCCAAGTTAGGATAAATCCAGCCATTGACACTGGCGGGAAACTCACAACACATCCCCACCTGCCATCTTCTCTTCTTGATGGTGTTGAGCTTAGCAAGCTCCTAACTGAGCCACTCATGGCCCAGGCCTTTGTCAAGGTGTACTGCACCCCAGAGCTGAGTGATCTATGTCCTTCAAGTTCAAGTTCCACACAGACCAAGACCACTGATTCTTCCTCATGTGGCACTTGCTGCAAGCAGCCTGGCCACATGCACAATTACCAACCATCACCTTCTGCTTACCCAAGCTCTGCATCAGGATTCTGCTCACACAGGAGATTATCTGGGACACCTGTGATCAGGGCAGGCAGATGGGATTGTGATGTGATAGTGTGTGAGCCAGTGGACATCATCCCACAAGAGGGGGCAATCTGGATAGCAAGGCTGCAGGAGAATTCCAAGAGTTTCCAGGAGTTGCAGTTGTTGTTTCATTCTTTTTTCGCCTTTGGCCTGATTGGACCCTCATGAGGTCCATAAAAAAAAATATAAGAAGCCAAAGACCCGACAGGGATGACACCCCCCCGCTGTTGTGGTGGGATCATCATTCTGGATCGCCTCAAAGAAAATTAAGAAGCCAAAGATCCGACAGGGATCGACACCCCCCCGCAGCTGGGGTTGCTGTTGTGGTGCAATCATCATTGGGGATCGCCATCAACCACTCGCGGGAGTTAGGCGGAGATAGACCGGGCTATTGCACCAATCCCCACCACCTCGGGCTACCCAATACCACCTACCGGGCCACCAACACACACAAAACCAACATACCAACAGACCTCGCCTAATTCTTGAAGTCTACAACATGATGCAGCCGTTCTTCTTGCTCGGGCCGCGGTACTCTGGCCTCGGCCTCGCGCTACTTGCCCTGTCTCTCCTCCTGGTCCAACACGCGCAAGCGGTAAGGCACTCAACTTTGGGATATGGTGTTGGTGCTGGTACTGATGTGCAATTGGCTCATTGGGTCCCATGATATATCTGCAGACGACGTGGGTGGTGGATGCGAGCGGGAAGGGCAACTTCACCTCACTCGACGCCATCTACAGCACCAAGGTCAAGCCGGGCGACATCGTCTACATGCGCGGTAGGGCTGCTATTTAGATCTAGATAGCGCGTGCCGTGTTATCTTAATTTTAAGTTATATTCCACACAGGGACGTTCACCACGGTGCAGACCCTGCAGAACATCAATGTACGTTCATGTTGTCTCACCGGGGGGACCACCAAGGCAATATAGCACGAACTGTTGGTTGATTGTTGAACAATAATGGTGAATCCACCATATGTACAGGGCACGAAAGACAAACCGATCACCATCACCAGCTATCCTGGCACGCGTGCCATTGTTGACGGCACCACCGCCAACCCCGGCGGCTACCAGGTTCGTCTGCGCCCACCTGCAACCCTCACATCACGGCAACAAGCCCAGCTTAAACCTGGTCCATCCCCAAGGGACTTGTGCGGCTCAACCTGTGCCACTTTGTCGTGTTGGACAACATCATCGTTCGCAAGTCTTCTCAGTCCGGTGCGTTACATCTCCTCTCAGCACAGCACCGCACTTCTTTTTGATCTAAAATTGCTGGACTAGACACCTTCATTCACCCGTCACGCTTCCAACAAAACAGGTATCTCGTTCTATTACAACAGTGACTCGGTCGTCCAGAACTGTGAGGTCCACGACGTACAGATCAGGTACCAACGCCAGCCAGTGAACGTGGTGCGGCATCCATGAATGGGGCAACTCTGGTTAACCAAAGTTCTTGCCTATGCCACAACAGAGGAATCGGAGGGTGTGGCGACAACGTGGTGATTCGCAACAACACGGTCTACAATGGCTGCATGCAGAACTATGCCGGCAAATTTGGGTCCTGGTCGCAAGTTGTCTCGTATGCCTCGCCGCTCACCACCACCACCACCACCGCAGCTCATGCCTGAAACACCGGTGCGACTTACTCAATCCCACCACAATCATTCATTCATTCAGGAGCGATTCGTGCTCGTCGACCACCAAGTTCAACAAGAACTGGGTGATCGAGTACAACAAGGTCTACAACAGCTGGGGCGAGGGCATCGACTGCATCCAGGTACGTCTTCACCGCCATGGGGGCACAATCGATTGGGAAGACAAAAAGCGACTCAACTGACGGATGGTCCGCGTTTTTCTTTTTCGAGGTGACCGGCTGTGTGGTCAGGCACAACGTGGTCTACGACACCTACTCTGTCAACATCTGTACGTACTGCCGCGCCAGTGTATACTTACACTGACGCACACTGATGTGGTCTGCAAAAAATGACTCAACAGACGTGGACAATGCGAACGGCGTGGTGATCGACAGCAACTACATCTACTCCAAGAACACCAGCTACTACCGCACCACGACCTACACCTGGCCGGCGACCGGCATCCTTGTCGGAGCCGAGACTTGGCCGGTACTACTGCGCTAGAGCGGCCTGCGCCCATGTTCTCTCATGTCTGACGTGCTGCGCGTGCATCATTTTATTTCAATCAGGCCAACCCGCAACCAACGTTCAATGTGACCATCAAGAACAACCTGCTCGTCGGCACCAACGGCATCTCCAACTTTTACGGCGGCAGCGTACATCACCCTCTTATGCCGTGCGTGTGCGTGTGCGTGTGCGTGTGCGTGTGCGGTTTTCATTCTTTTCTGACGTGTACCCCAAACATTTTCAGAACTGGGTGAACAATGTGCGCATCTACTACAACACCATCTGGAACCCGAACGCCACCGGAGTACGCCATCACACGTTCTTACATGAGAGAGAATTGAAGTCATGACGAATGCTGACTGTCCCCCCTGTGTGGCATGATGATCAGATCGGACCCTTCACCTGGCCGCAGCAAAAGAACATCACGCCGTCCGGCAATGAATTTAGGAACAACCTGATCTGGACCAAGGTACCCCACATTCACTTTGCTTTAGACGTGGATGTAGTAATGAACTGACTTAGCATGGTTGGTCATCATCATCATCGTCACCACCCTCTCTCTGCTCACTTCCCTAAAGCCATCCTGGGCTTGCATGTGTGCGTTCTTCCTCAATCATCCCCCTCGCCTATCAACGCTATCTAAACATATTTGTGTGCTGCGGTTGGCCAGCCGGACAGAGAAGCGCGTGGACCATTTCCAACAATGTCTGGGTCGGAGTTAAAACGTACTTTGCCCCTGCTGGCATGTAGCGCCCATCATCATCACTGCTGATTCACAGTTGTTTAAAACAACAGGATTCCGACCAACTGTACCGACACGTCGTCCACGATCACCTCCCTGGCCGTCAATACGACGCTCATCAACTTTGCCAGCGGTCGCGTTCCCGTCATCAGCTCGCCCTTGACCGACTTTTACCTGGTACCACGCGCTGGTCCCTTCTCTCATTCGCAACTACACACAAACGGCTCACACTTACGCGCGCCTGTCATTAGGGAGCCTCATCGCCGGCTCGCGGCGCTGGCGTTGCCTTGGCCAGCGTCACGACGGACTACAACGGTACCCACCACATCAGCAGCAGCAGCCTCATTGGGTCATCCCAAGCGGAAGCCTCAGGTTTTGGTTGTTTGCGTGGTGATCTCCAGGCTACGCGCGGGCGAGCAAGCCCAGCGTGGGCTTCGTCGAGTACGGCACCCAGGCCAACTCCGATGGCAGCGATGGCTCGTCAGCCTCAGTCGCCACGGGCTTCTTCCTGGCGGCCGCGCGCTCGGTGTCCGCTTTCCTGCTGGCGTGAACCTTGTTGGTCCTGTCTTCAACAGCCAAATTGTGTACTTCGTACCTGTTCTTCTCCATTTCCACATAAAACACAGAAGATCAGCAGAAATTGGGTGAACAACGTGCGCATCTACTACAACACGATTGGAGCTTAGGAGACGATGGTCTTCTCCTTGTCCTTGAAGATGAGGCGCATGGGGCTGCCGGTGTAGGGGTGGAACTCGCGGATGGCGTTCTCCAGGAAGCGCTGGTACGTGAAGTGCACCAGCTCAACATCGTTCACAAAGAACGTGAACGACGGCACCTTCACCTTGGCTGTCACGCACCACCGACCGCACACGACACACCGCACACGCACACGCACACGAGACAGCCGGGTGAGCTCGTGGGGGCTGGGTGGTGGCTGCAATGGATTGGTTGTGGGCCGGACCTTGGGTGGCGTAGCGGATCTTGAGCTGCCGGCCGTTCTTGGACGGGGGCCGGTGCCGCGTGTGGGCGCTCTCGAGGAGCTTCATGAGCGTCGACGTCTTGATGAAGTGCGCCCTCTCCCGGGTGATGCGGATCGCCAGATCGATCGTCTCCTTCACATTGACGCCTTTTCATTCACCGCACACAGAGAGGATTGGTCAGCCAGCACACGAGTGTTGTGTGTGTGTGTTGTGTGTGTGAACCTGTCTTGGCCGAGCAGAACATGATGGGCACATATTTCATAAACTTGAGCGTCTCCTGAACGTACTTCTCCCACTGTATGACACACACAACAGACACACGACACACGACACACACGACACACACGACACACACAGCTTTAGGATCATGCTAATTGGCTCGCTGCTCATTCATACAAAAGATAGTAACCTTTTGCTTGCTCTCCTTCGACATGTCCCACTTGTTGACGACCACGATGGTGGTGGCCTTGCTGTTGAGAATGTGTTCCGCGATGCGCAGGTCCTGGTCCGTGATGCCCTGCGTGGCGTCGATCAGCTGCAACACGATGTCGGAGCGGTTGATCGACTTGATGGCCCACAGCACCGACGACCGCTCAAGCCCTGCACGTCACAATCGCGCCCGCCCGCCCGCGCACGCATGAGGCCAGCGCAGCGAACGAAACAGCAGAGTTCGGTGCGTGCGTACCCTTGACGTGGGTGGCCCTTCGGTTGATGCCCGCAGTGTCGACGATACGAATGGGCACGCCGTCGGCGTCCGGATTCGCCGCGGGCTCTGTGGTTGGTGGTGGGGTGATTGTTTGCGGCGGATGAAAGGTACACGACACGACACGACACGACACGCACAGCGGCGGTACCTTTGAGTTTTGTATTATTAGCCTTCTTTGCTCGGACTTTTGTCTCGTGCTCGTCGTCATCGAGATCGTCTTCCTGCTCGTCGTCTTCGAGATCGTCTTCCTGCTCGTCGACTTCATCGTCTTCGGCGGCGTGGACCACTTCTGCGTCCTGCTGCTTGCCTTCTGTGGTCGCCGCCGCCGCCTCCTCTTCCAAGCCCATGGTCGCTTTCGCCGCGCGGCGCTTTCGCTTGCGCGGCTTCTTGCCCCGCCACATGATGCTGTGGTCCACCGCGTCGTGTGTCGTTCCTGATGATGATGATGATGATGATGATGATGATGATGATGATGATGATGATGATGATAACTACATCAACGGAAATCATGGCAGAGGCGTACGCACCGGCGACGTTGGTGACGATCACGCGCTCGCGGCCGAGCACCTGGTTGAGAAAAGAGGATTTGCCTACATTGGGCCGGCCCACAATGGAGATCGAGATTCGCTTGCGCGCCAGCTCCGCCTCCGCCTCGGCGTCGCCTGTATAGCCAGCCACACACGTCCGTACCACCATGCCGATTGGTTAAACGAACTAACCAGGCCCGCAGTAGCGAGCCAATCGGAAGAGGTGGTGATCTGGTGCGTGCCTTCCGATTGGTCCTCGGCCGGAAACTTGGTCTGCACGATGTCGTAGACCTTGTCGAGGAGTTCGCCGGCGCCGGCGCCGTGGATGGCCGACACGGGAATGGCCGGACCCAGCCCCAGCAGCCAGTAGTCGTCCGGCTTGCCTGCGGTGGCGCGGGGGGGGGGTGACGTTAGATTTCGGTCGAAAGCGAGTGGGGAATTCTCTGAGCCTCGCATACCGGTTGGTCCGGCTTTGTTGCGTTCGTCGAGCTCCAGGACGAGGTCGGGGTTGTCGCACTTGTTGGCCACCAGCACGATGTCCTTGTCGTGCACATGCTTTCGCAGCACTCGCGCCACTTCCACATCCTGCGCAGCACACGTCAGCACAACACACGCTCCACCACACCGCACACATGACACACACACACACACACACACACAACACACCACACAGTAGATAACATCGAAGGTGGGCACCTTCTTGGTTACGCCCTCACGGAAGTCGAAGAGGAAGAGAATGATGTCGGCTTCGTTGATCGCCACCAGGGCCTGCTCGTGGATGAGCGGAGAGAAGAAGTCGCCCGTGCCCACCATGCCGCCCGTGTCGACCACCTATCGATGATGCCGACACAAAACATTAGCCTTCCCCATCGAAGCCACAGCCACACCACTACACGCCGTCGTCGTCAAAGAGTTGGTCGTGTGTGGAAGTCCTTACCATGACCGATCGGCCGCCGATGTCGCAGTAGGCGTAGACTCGATCGCGCGTGGTGCCGGGCTCGGATGTGACCAGGCTCTTGTTCATCCTCACCAGCCTGCCCATCGTAACCATCGGCCTAGTTAGCCCTGACACGACACACGCGCGACACGACACGACACGACACGCACACGACACGCACACGACACGCACACGACACGTGGCTACTACAGCGCACCTGTTGAAGAGGGTGGACTTGCCGCAGTTGGGAAGCCCCACGAGCGCGAGCACGGGGTCTCGCCGCATCGTGTACCGTTCGGTGTCAGACTCGACGCCTCCAAGCGCTTCCTCCTCGGCGGCCGGCCGCGCCTTGGAGGCCTCGCCCGATGGCGCTCTCTTCTTCGTAGCGGCCGCGGCGCCTGGCCCGCGTGCGGCGTTGCTCTTGCCACCTCCGCCCTTGCCACCAGCGCCTCGCGTAGCAGATGATGATGATGAAGATGAAGATTTCTGGGAATGAGGGCGCGTGGTCTGCTGTGCTCGATCCCTGCCGCTGCCGCCACCGCCACGGCTGCCGCCTGCACCTCGGCTGGTGGCCAGCCCTCGTGCGGAGGCGATGGGGCAGCTCATCGATGGCATCTGCAAAATTCGTGTAGGCCGAAGAAGGAGCGATGATGGCTGGGGCAGGACCCAAAAGGAGGAGGAAGCAAGGGATGTTGCCGTCGTAGTGGTGCCCGGGCCGACGCAGCTCCGAAGCCGTAGATGGCTCATCTTCAATAGCCGAAGTGATTTGAAATAAGAAAAGAAAAGAAAAAGGAACAAATCATTATTCGATTGATCACAGCTTCCGGAAAGGGATTGGAGAGTAATGGAGGTGGCACCTGAGACGATTGAGGCCAAGGAGATGGTGGATGGAGGCGTGGGAGAGCCTGTGCTCCGGAAGATGCCGCATGCGCTCAAATACGAGGTGGTGGCGCGGTGGAAGCGAGCGCGGGTCGGCCGCCTCACCCTGCCCCACCACGTCTGCGATACCCCCATGTTCATGCCCGTAGGCACCCAGGTACCCCCTTCCCCTTTCTATTTATTCTTTTATTCTTCTATTCTGTTTTCCCCTTTCTATTTATTCTTTTATTCTTTTATTTCTGATTTTTCTACTTTTTGGCTGCAGGGCACAGTGAAGGGGCTGACGACGGAGCAGCTCGAGGCGCTCGACTGCCAC